AGGGTCACTATGAATCAGAGCCCAGTTGATGGCACCTAACAACAACAAATGTCTTAGCAAGGCGCCCTGGTGGCAAAGTGGGATAAACATTAGTCTGCTAACTACAAGGTCAGTACTTCAAACCACCAGTTGCTTCCGCAGAAGAAAAATGAGACCGTCTGCTTATGTAAATAGGCAAAGTTTCAGAAACCCTAAAAAGCAGTTCTATTCTGTCCTATAGGTCACTCTGGGTAGGAATCAATTCCATGGCAGAAGGTTTGGTCTGGTTTTGGTTTTGGTATATCATAATAGTACACATTTATTCAAAGTATGTATACACTTATTCTGGCAGGGGTGCACACAGTCTATGTGAATTCTCATAAAGCATAAAACCTAAAGCCAAAAGGGGAACTAATAATGCCAAAATAAAGATAAATATTGACAAATTAGAAGTCCAATTTATATTACAACTTAGCTTGCTACCCATTGTGCTAGTCATTGTAGTGGCTAGCCCTGCTCATTCTTCAAAGTTCACCTATGTACCTTTTTGCCAACCGGTCACAGATTGCTCATGTCCAACACCTCTACATTTACTCAAAACATATAGTACTCTCTTTCAATAAAATTATTCATAAAACCTCATTCAAGAACACTGTGGATGCTCATCATTCATTCTTAGCATAGTTATAAAATAGTCACTACAGCAGATGATTGCGTGCAATTTTTACTTGGTCAGAATACATGTGTTTCTACCAAATATTTCAAGACTTCAGAAAGGAAATGCCATGTTCTAGTCTAGTTTATCTGTTGAATCTCCTGCCAAGGAACTTTGTAGAGTCCACCAGTGTATGCTAAGGATCATTAAAAATATATACATCAAATAAAGCATATCAACAACTATATAAAAGGGATTCTAGATAATTATATGGTATAAGTAGATTACTAAACCAGAATTTATGTACCTTTTATTTTTCAAATAGTTTCCTTACTGCTCTTATAACATGCCTTTCCGCTCTCACCTCCATGGTTGGCATCTTCAATTAAGCTCAATTGAACAAGCATTTATTTACAAGCTGCTATGTGCCAGGTGCTAGGTGCTATGGATACAAATATAGTTATGAAATGACTTTATTCCCAAGAGGTTTACAGTGTAGTCACTTAATATACCTTCTTAGACTGCCTTCCTTACTCCTGCTGATTCCAAGCCTTGTTCTTTTAATTCCACAGTGAATTTGGCTTCTTCCATCAAACTATCCTAAGTTATTTCCCTTCACTATTTCTTCCGTTTGCAGAAATCTTAACATAAGATATCCATTCATTGTATTCTCTATGTAATCTTACATGGCTCTTGTAACATAATACACCCCAACTTTTTTATTTAACTCTGCTGAACTATAAGTACCTTCCAACAAGATTGTAAAATCTCTGAGTATAAGTTGTTGTTGCTGTTGTTATTAAGTGTTGTCTAGTTGGTTCCAACCTATAGCAATCCCGTATAGGGATTGGTTTCTTACTAATTCAGAATGTCGAGCAAGACTATAGATAGATGTCTATCAATCCAGAGGATATCATTCTTTCACAGTTATTTCTCAGAAATTTCATAACCACAGTAGGATCACTAAAATGACAACAAACCTATAAAAATCATAAAATATGTACATTTCCAAGTGGCATAGAGTTGCATTAATGGAGTAAAGAAACCGAGTTCAGATTCAAAGGAATGGTTAGGAAGGATAGGTCTTGCTGGAAGGAAGTCATTGTAGCCTGTTCAGGCAGACTCCTCCATCCTTAGGAGATGCTGACCTAGAAAAATCACATTCGCAGTCAGACTTCCTAGGGGGCAAGGAAAAGACCACCGGCCATCAGTGTGCTTCAAAAAGGCAGTCAGATTTACTCTCCTTCACCACCACACTTTGTTGTTAAGTGCCATGGTGTCAGTTTCAACTTGTAGTGACCCTGTATAGGTTTTCCAAAGAGTAGCTGGTAGGTTCAAACCATCAAGCATGTGGTTAGCAGTCCAGTGCTTATCCTGCAGTACCACACCAGAATTCCCAACCACACTTTACAGCATAATTATAATGTCCCTTTGCAATAAGAAAAGAAAACTTCTTCCTCCTATTTGATGAGTTCTAATAGCACCAGTTCAAACCCACCAGCTGCTCCTTGGAAACCCTATACAGTGTCACTATGAGTCAGAATTGCCTTGATGGTATTTAATAATAACAACAAAAATTTCTTTAACTAGGGTGGGATGCGGATGAGAGAGAGGACCTTCATTTTACAGTTAAAGACTTAAAACTAAGTGCATGGCTGAGTTAACAGTATACTGTGACTGAGTTTCAATTACAGTGTAATTAATTTATCAACAAATGTAAATGATTTATTACAATTTTTTTTTTCTCAGCTTTTTGGAAAGGATGAAAGGAAGGGGAGGAGGGAGGAAAGTCTCTGTGGAGACCAAAGGTGTTTGAAGGAGAGAGAAAGATGCTAATGTCAGAAGACTTAGTCTTTATCTAGGATTGCCCTATTCAGATACAATTGTTATGAAACAAGTAGAATCTGTAACTGAGGTATTTGTGCCCATGAGCCACAAAAGCACTCTGATTGGTAGGATTTAAAGTTTTTCTTGTCATTCAAGGAAACTTGGTGGCATAGTGGATAAAACATTAGGCTACTAACTGCAAGCGGGGTGATTCAAACCCACCAGCCTCTCCACAGAAGAAATATGAGCCTGTTTGTCTCCATAGATCTATGCTTTCACTAGCATAATAATAGGTCAACTAGCATAATATAACCCACAAAGACTGTGTTTTACTGTATTATTTTGTTGAGTAATAACTGGGGTCTTAAAAGGTCATGAGGTATCACTACTGATCTTTCCCTGTACAAAGGAAAGAAGAATGAAGAAAATCAAAGATGTATGGAAGCAATTAGTTTAATGGACTAATGGATCATGGGAACATTAGTCTCCATGACACTGAGACCAAAAGAACTATATGGTGCCCAGCTACCACTACCAAATGCTCTGAAAGGGATCACATAGGAAGAACCTAGAAAGAGTGGGAAAAAATGTGGAGCAAAACTCTAAACCATAAAAAACAGCCTTACTCGTCAGTTGGAAACTGGTGGAACCCCAGTCCTTAGTCACCCGTCAGGTTTGGAAATGAAATCATCCCTATGGTTCAATTTTCAGTCAAACAATAAACAGTCAATCTTCATCGTTGTTAAGTGTCATTGAGTCCGTTCCAACCCATAGTGACTCTGTATAGGGTTTCCGAGGAGCAGTTCGTAAGCTTGAACTGCTGACTTTGCAGTTCAAACAAGTTTGCAGCCTAGCAGCACATTAACCGACAGCGCCATACCAGGGCTCTGTAAACAGTTGATAAGAACTATAACATTAGGGAGGTATTAACTCCTTAGAATAATCAACCATTTGAAATCAAAAGGGTAGAATTTATCCAAAGACAAAAGTTCAGTTGGGTTAGGAAAGAAGGAGGAATGGAAACAGTAAACACAGGGAGGAGGTGGGATAAGTAATATTATATTGTGGGTACTGATGCAATTAATGAAATGAAACAAAATGCGTATGAATTATTAAGTGGAAAACTGATCTGCTCTATATACCTTCACCCAATTCACAATAAAAAGTTAAAAAAAATTTTTTTTTTTTTTTACATTATTGGAAACCCTAAGGAGCAGTTCTCCTCTGTCCTATAGAGTCAGTATGAGTTGGCATTGACTTGATGGCAGAGGATTTGGGATTTTTGTTTTGTTTTGTTGTTGTTCATTCCTTAAACACCATTAGTTTCATGTAGAAGAACTTCATTTATAGATAATTCATTAAGAAATAAGATATATATATGTAAGTATTTGTCAAATTTATTTTCTTATATTTCAAAGTAAGATCCTTTCAATTTGGATTATCCATAAATGTGTCTCTTCAGTAGTTTTCTTTTTAAGTAAATATTCCTTGGAAAAAATGTGAGTTAATATAATACAACAAAAATATGTTTCCCTTCAAGTCAAAAACTTTATATATAGCCACTATATGAAGTAGCCCATTGATCTGACCCAGCATGACATTTCCAGGTTGTTTTAAAATTAATTTCAATATAGAAGACATACTAAAAAAAACAACCACTGCCCAAACTGAATTTTAACCATTTAATACCACCACCAACAACAACAACACATTATATTTAAGAGTCCTGATGGTGCTGTGGATTGCATGTTAGGCTGCTAACCAAAAAGATCAGCAGTTCAAACCCACGAACTGCTCCTGAGATTCACAGCCTAGGAGACCCTCTGCAGCAGTTCTGCTCTGTTCTGTAGGGCTGCTATGAGTTGGAATGGATGTGATGGTGGTGAGTTTCGTCTGGTAACATTATATATGCCACTCATAAGAAGATTACCATTCAACGGATACCAGCAGAATTACAATACTTAAAAAAAGGATTGCTGGTTGTTTTTTTGTTTGTTTTAAATATATGAAAGTTTAAAAAAACACTTAAAAAGTATACTATGATTGCCCTGTAATAAAAAAATTCAGTGGATCAGAAATAATATAGTTCTGTGGATTCTTTTCCATTTGTATTTGAAAATATTCCTTTAACTGTGTAGTAAAAGCTCAATATGAGAGATGTATTTATCATGGCTGAACCTTGTAAAATCTTAAGAGCCATTATTTCAGAAAAAGTATTTTTTAAAAGACTCTCCATTTGACAAGTATTGTTGTTGTTGTTAAGTGCCATAGAGTTGGTTCCAACTCATAGTGGCCCTGTAGAGGGTTTCCGAAAAGTGGCTGGTGGGTTTGAACCACCAACCTTGTGGTTAGCAGTCCAGTGTTTATCTTATAGTGCCATACCAGGATTCACAGGTAGTCAGTCTAAATATTTATTGATTGATTGTATTTCATTCATATAGTAACTATAAAACAGTAACTCGAAAGTAGAGTAGTCCCCTGCAAACATGAATTTTTGTGGCAAAAATTTACAAGATTCAACTCGTTTTAATCTTATCACCTGTATATATCTTGTAACTGCAGATCAAGATCTTGAAGTTTCTTTTGATATTTCTCTGTAAAATTATAGAACTCACTAAGGATTGAAGATTTCAAATCAGGGTATGGACATTCCAAACATTCCAATTCCATGGGCAATTCACCAAGCAGATTACTTTTTTCTTTTAAAGAATGATCTAATATCTGGGAGAGAGAGAAAAAAAAAAAAAAAAATATATATATATATACACACACAAGATTATCTTATTTCACATAAATGACAATTGATAAATAAACTACCTGGGTTATATTTACCTTTATTCTCCAATCTGAAAGCTCATTTTGTATTTTCTCTTGTTCGAGGTTAAGTCTTTCAAAAACAGCTATGAATTGTTTCTTCACAAATTCAACCTATTGGAAATTTAGAACAACCTTTGTAGAACTTAAATTATTGCAATTCAACCAATATTTATATTTAAATAAATAAATAAATGTATTAAATAAAGAAATTATTCTCAAATAAATGGCAAGCATTAAATAAGAAAAAGACTCCTTGAGAAAAGGGTTCAAGAGATGCCATAGCCAAACAGTGTTCATTAGAGAGAAGAGACTCAACTGGTTTCCACACACATAACCTGAATATGGTCTTGGGAAATACAGTGGGTTCATAGCCACACTGTACCTCACATTTGGATTTTGCTTGTGATAAAACAGAGAGCTTACCAGATTGTCTCTGCTGCAAATCACTCTATTCTTCTCTTGCATCCTTGCCTCTAATTCTCAGAAAAATTTCTAGGCACATGGATTTTTAATAATGTTCTATATTATTATTTTTATGAGAGCAATTTAACAACACTACAGAATGACTGAAAAATAGAGAAAAAGCACCTATAATCCTACACCTAGTACAGCCACATTTATGCTCTAGTCAGGGGAGGCTGTCAATGAACTAATAAGAAAAATAAGAAGAAATGACCAGGAGAAGGTAAGTGATGCAAAGCAAGGCGGTGTGATAGGAAGTGACTGTGGGCCCCACTGGATGATCAGAAGTGACCCATTGATTATAGAACATTTAAGCAGAGATCTAAATGACAGTAAGTGTCATCAATGAGACAGAAGAAACAGTACAAGAGGCTTGAGATAAGAACAAACCCGGCATGTGTGAGGACCAGAAAGAAGGCCAGCATCAATGTGACAGCACTCCTCTTGAAAGGGGAACTGGGCTGTCACATAGGAGACACCTGTTGTATAAGGAGAATTTGAGGGCCAGCAGGAGCCCCTGGGGGACTTCTGGCAGGGGGTGACTTGATCTGTTCTATATTTTTTTAAAGAATGTACTAGGAGGAAAGCTAAGCATGAAAGCAGAAACACTAGTTATAAGCCCATGGTAAAATTCTAGGCTAGAAAAGGTGCTTGAGCAGATTCAAGAATATGTTTAAGATAATTGTTGCTGTTGTTGTTGTTAACTGCCGTTGAGTTGGTTCCAACCCAAAGTGACCCTGTATTGGGTTTCCAAGGAGCAGCTGGTGAGTCTGAACTGCTGAACTTGTAGTTAAAACAGCTTTGCAGTCTGGTGCATTAATCCACAGCACCACATCAAGACACATTAGACCACATCTTCTATTTTAATGCACAACATATGTTTGTTTCTTATATTAAACTATTTGAACTGGGATAAAATTGAAATAATATATTCTCAAAAATAATGGTAACAGTTTGGTGGTACCTAAAATATTTAAACATAGAATTATCATAAAAAAGAAAACTAGTAATTGCTGTCCAGTTGTTTCTTACTCATGGTGACTCCATGTGCTTCATAGTAGAACTACACTCCACCAGGGTTTCAAAGCCTGTGATCTTTATCAGGTAGACTGTCAGACTTTCTTTCAAGGTGCTACTCGGTGGACTCAACTGTCTACATTTTGGTTGTTGTTGTTGGTGGTGGTGGTATGCCATGGAGTTGGTTCTGACTCATAGTGACCCTGAATAGGATTTCTAAGGCTGTAAATATTTACAGGAGCAGAAAGTCTCATTGTCCTGCCACAGAACCACTGGTAGTTTCAAACTGCTGACCTTATGGTTAACAGCCCAACTTGTAACCACTACACTATCAGAGCTCATGTACTTTTTGGTTAGTAGAGCTTAATTGTTTGTGCTACCCAAGAATTTCAGAATTACCATTGCAGTTGTTAAGTGTTATCAAGTTGGATCTGACTCATAGTGACCCCGTATGAGGTTTCCAAGGAGCGGCTGGTGAGCTTGAACTGCTGACCTTGCAGTTCAAACCAACTTTGTAGTCCAGCACATTAACCCATAGAGCCACACCAGGACTCTATAGACCTAGAAACATCACTCCTATGTGTATACCCATAAGAACTGAAAGCAGAGATTCAAACAGATATGTGTGTAACAGTGTTCATTGCAGCATTATCCATAACAGACAAACGATGCAAGCAACCCAAATGGCTATCAACAGATGAATGAATAAACAAACTGTAGTATACTTAAACAATGTAGTATTATTTAGCCATAAAAAGAAATTAAGTTCGGCCACCATATGGATGAACCTTGAAAACATTATGCTGAGTGAATTAAGTCAGACATAAAAGAACCAATATTGTATGATCCCATTTATATGAGCTATTTATACCAGGCAAATCTATTGAAACAAACAAACAAAAATTGGTGGTTATCAGGAGCAGAAAGAGGAGGAAACGGGGAGTTAAGAAAAAAAATTTAAATAAAGGAAGCATACTCACCTCTTCCAGCACTTTCACTGAGTCAGTATGTATGTCTGAACGCTGTAAAATGTGATGCTGCCGGTATTTAAGATCTGCTCGCAACTGCTGAATAGGTTCGATCACATTTTTCAGATATGCACACCATTGTTCTGATAAGTCTTGTTCTATGGCAAAACAAAATTGAATCAAGGCAACACAATTAAAGTTTCATCAAAAACAGGCAGTTTTGCTTGGGAGTTTCTTTAAAAAGAAATAAGCAGCAGTTAATATTAAAATAAGTGTCTCATTTTCATTCTTCAAAACACAAATCCCATTTGAGTATAGGATCAAATATCTCACCAAAATCCACAAGGTCAGAAAGGCATTCACTTCCAATGCTGTCTTCATTGAGAAAGGATTTTATTTCCGATTCGACTTTGTATCTGAAATGGATGTTAGCTCCATCAACTTTTTTTTTTTAACAATCATAAACACATATGTTTTTTAAAATAACTGGTCATTTAAATTTTCATTGCAATTTTAATCTAATGTGATTTTATTTATTCAAACTATCTGCAGCCTATTTCAGCACTATCAGAATGACATCAATATTCCTCCCACTTTGAAGCTGTGACTATAGTCATAGAGAACAATCCCTTTAATGAGTTCATCAAAACATTAATTGAAACATTCAGATTTCTTCTTGAAATTAAATCTTATGCTGATATCCAGGTTATGGACTTCTGGTGTGGCACTGTAGGATAAGCATAGGACTTCAAGGCCAGTTTGAGCCACTAGGCCTGTGGCTCAAACTCACCAGTTGCTCCTCAGAAACCCTATACTGGAACTCTATAAGTAGGAATCGACTCCACGGCACTAAACCACAATATCTGGAGTATGAAACAGATACAATTGGTGTTGCTTTGGTTGAAGAGAGAGAAGCAAGGGTTTGAGTTCATTATGCCTTCTTTTGGTTCCCAGGTGGTCACTAAATCACGTAAGGGTTTTAGAGAGCACAATTTGACAAATTAGCAAGGATTGTCTTCATCTTCTTGAATATTTTAGGGTAGACTTGGAAACAAGAATAAATTCTCCATTGCAATGAGTTATTCTAACCACATTTAAAGGACAGAGTAGGCATCTTGCCATGGCCTCACTTTCCCCATGTGTCCCAGGAGAATGGGATTATTTGTGACCAGAACAATCTGTTACAAATGATAAACTCGAATCTATTAGTAATATTTATAGACTCTATAAAATAGAGTTGGTAGTCCTGGCGTGGCACTGGACCACAATGTCAGTGGTTCAAACTCACCAGTTGCTTCTCAGAAACCCTGTACAGGGTCACTAGGAGCCGGAACTGACTCGATGACACTCAACAACAACAATAGAGAGCTGAGTCTTTTGAGCTTTTCCTCTATTTGACATGTGCAACGTAAATATTTGTATTATTTTTTAATCTACTGATAATTTAGGAGTGCAGTGGCTCCATATAATAAGCACTGAACTGCGAAACATAAGGTTGGCGGTTTGAAAACATATATGGATTTGTCAATAAACTTGTATTAAGATACAGGGTAGGGATGCCCAGAAGCACTTAGGAAATTTTTATGTAAACGGTGGGAGATGAGGAAAAAAGAAGAGTCAAGGGCCTATATGTCACTAGCGTCATGAACTCACAAAACTTTAAGATCACCAGATGTGATGCTGTCTCAATATAAAATATCTCAACATCAAGACAAATATTTTGCAGATTTCACTCTCCCCTATCTCTGCTAAAAAAACAGCAAAAAAGAAAACCATCAAACAAAAACCCAAACCATTTGCCATCAAGTCAGCTCTGGCTCATGGTGCTGCCATGTGTGCAGAGTAAAACTGTTGTATGGGGTTTTCAAATCTGTGATGTTTCAGAAGCAGATCACTAGAACTTTCTTCTGAGGCATCTCTGATTGATTTTGAACCACCAACCTTTCAGGAACTCCTACTTCTGCTGATCAGTTACTTATGATGTGACACAGACAGGCGTTATGATAAAGGAAGGAGGCTGCAGAGGACAGTGCTGTGGAAGCAGGTGAAAGGTACAAGCTTGCATAAATCTTATCAGCTCATTCACTTGAACCAGGTATCACATTTTCTTCTCCCAAAATCCCTTGGCATCATAAAGTTGATAACATTTCTTATGAATTCAATTGTTTCTGTGCATCTACACACCAGTTCTAAGTCTCAAATCAAGAACTTACCTTTCCATCTTCAGATGCTAAAAAAATTTTTAAAAAAGAAAAGACAACTACACGTAAAGCGAGCAGAAAAAAGGTAATAACAAAGGTTAGAGCATAAATTAATAAAATAGAAAATCAAAAAGCAATGGAGAAAAATCAATAAAACTAAGTTTGTTTTTTAAAAAAAAAAATCAACAAAATGGGCAGGCTATTAGCAAGTTTAGAGGAAACCCTAATTGCTAGAATGAAAAATGAAAGAGGAATATTTCCATCAACCTTATACAAAAACCAGAATTATAAAATAATCCTTTCAAATTACTTAGATGAAATAGACAAATTCTTAGAAAGGCATAAACTACCAAAATGGACTCAAGAAATAACCAATATGAATATACCTATAACAAGTGAAGAGGACTTGAAACATTTACTGATGAAGATCAAAGAAAACAGCCTTCAGTATGGGTTGCATCTCAATGTCATAAAAACAAAAATCCTCACCACTGGACCAATAAACAACATTCTTATCAATGGAGAAAAGATTGAAGTTGTCAAGGACTTCATTCTTCTTGGATCAACTATCAACACTCGTGGAAGCAGCAGTCAAGAGATCAGACGAAGTATTGCATTGGGCAAATCTGCTGCACAGGAACTTTTTAAAGAGATGTAAGCTTGAGGTCTAAGGTGCGCCTGACCCAAGCCATGGTACTTTCAATAACCTCATATGGATGTGAAAGCTGGACAGAGAATAAGGAAAACCGTAGTAGAATTGATGCCTTTGAGTTGTGGTGTTGGAGGAGAATACTAAAAGTGCCATGGACTGCCAAAAGAACCAATAGATCTATTTTGGAAGAAGTACAGCCAGAGTGCTCCTTGGAAGCCAGGATGGCTAAGCTTCGTCTCTCATACTTTGGACATATTGTCAGGAGAGAACAGTCGCTGGAGAAGGATGTCATGCTGGGTAAGGTGGAGGGTCAGAGAAAAAGAGGAAGACCCCCAACGAGACGGATCAGCCAGGTGGCATCATTGATGGCGTCAAGTGTGGCAGCGGTGGTGGGGTTGGCCCAAGATCGGACATTGTTTCGTTCTGCTGTGCATGGGGTCACTATGAGTCGGTTCCGACTCGATGGCATCTGACAACAACAACAACATAACAAGTAAGGAGTTCTGGTGTGGCGCTGTGGGTTAATGAACCAGGCTGCAAAGCCATTCGAACTGCAGGACCGGCAGTTCAAACTTACCAGTCGCTCCTCGGAAACACTACACAGGGTTGCTATGGGTCAGAACCAACTCGATGGCACTTAACAACAACATAATAAGTAAAGAGATCAAAGTAGCAATTTCAACAACAACAACAAATTGCCCATAAAGAAAAATCTGAGCACAGAAGTCTTCGCCGTTTAACTATATCAAATATTTTAAAAACAAATAATATCAATTTCTCAAAATCTATTTAAAAAATTAAAGAGGGGGAGCATACCCAACTCTCTTTATGAAGTCAGCATTACTCAAATAAAGATGCCACAAGATTAAAACAAAGAATCAACTACAGACCAATATCTCTTACAAATATAAATGTACAAAATCCTCAAAAAAATATTAGCAAACCAAATCCAATTATCATATAAAAAAGAATTATGTACCATGACCAAGTAGGATTTATCAGATTTCAATACTGGTTTAGCAAATAAAAATCAATTAATGAAATATATATCATCAATAAAATAAGAAACAGAAATCACAGGATGTCTTAGTAGACACAGAAAAAGCATTTGACAAAATCCAACACATTTCAGAATCGAAACATTGAACAAACTAGGAATCAAAGATTACTTCCCTGACCTGGTAAATGCCATCTATGAAAATCCCCTAGTCAACCTCATACGTAATTGTGAACAATTGGATACTTCCCACCTATGATCAGGAACAACAAGACCAACAAAAGATGTCTGCTCTTACAAATTCGATTCAACATTCTAGTCAGGCTAATTAGGCAAAAAAGAAAGGAAAACAAATAAAAGACATCCAGATTAAAAAGAGAAAAAGCAAAACTATCTCAATATGAAAATGATATGATCATGTATATAAACAAAATGATACAAATTTGGATAGTTCGGGATTTCTCAGAAAATATACTATGCTAAAGTACATTAAGGTTCTCCATGAAGGGAATGAAATAGAAAATGTTTCCCTCATCTATCTGATAATGAAACTCATTATATATGTTGAAGAATAGTAATGTTTTATGGAATATGATTTAGGAAACACAGATAGAAAGGGTCTTAAACATGGTGACTTTGGAAAACAAAACCCTGATTGTTCATCATGCTAGACTAGTTCCCAGGTTTTCGCAAAGTTGGAGCTCTACAGCACATACAACGTCTTTCAGATCTGAAGAGGGGGCGACTATTCAAATTATTTTCATGTCCAAATCTGCCATTTTAAGGAGCACATAAAGCTATTTTGCCAGTGCCGCTGGCATGTTCTCACATAAGCAATGACATCCTAAATTCCTGTGCAAGTATTTGTGCAGATGACATACAAGGAGACTTCAAAAAACTAAGTGGAAATATTCTGTTATCTTTTAAATGCCATTATCTTTTTGAAGTGTGCTTGTATTAACCTACTTCCTAGATATATCAGGTACAACACAATCACCGGCAGGAAGTCAACTTACTGAAGAGTATTTTTGAGCCATCAAGTGTCCACTTTCAGCACAGGTTCCCATCCTTCCAAGATTATGCCAAAATTCTACGTGTAGAGTCAGTCTTCTTAGAATATAAAAAAAAAAACAAAAACACACAGCCCTATCTGGTATTTCCAGGCTGCCATCACCATTTAATTATTAGCAATATCAGTGAGTAGAAAAAGTGAAACATGAGTGCAGGAGACAATTACAGCCAGAGCCACTTAAGCAAATAATAATTAAAGGGATACAGATCATGAAAAGCAGAAAAAGACTGTGTGGAAACTTCAGAAATGAAACAGCCTGGAGATTTGCAAAAACATTAGGATACCAGGTAAGTTAAAGCAGATGCTAACACCCTCCAACAAGCAGCCCTGATGGCTTGGCACCTGGTTAAAAATGGCCCCAATCATTCTTCTCACATCACTCTCTTTTCAGCTGTGTTCAGTAATTCATTGCAATGTCCACACAGAACTCAGACACAATGTTCACAGTTAAAGAGTTTATTAGGTAAGTTTGTTGTTGTTGTTGTTAGGTACTGTGGAGTCTATTTCTACAATCAGTGACCTTATGCACAACAGAACAAAACACTGCCCGGTCCTGTGCCATCCTTACAATTTTATTAAGCTTGTGCCCATTGCTGTTGCCACTGTGCCAATCCATATCATTGGGGGTCTTTCTCTTTTTCACTGACCCTCGACTTTACCTAGCATGATGTCCTTCTCCAGGGACTGGTTCCTCCTGATAATATATCTGACACATGAGAGGTGAAATATCATCATTCAGGCTTCAAAGGAGCATTCTGACTGTACTTTTCTAACATAGATTTGTTTGTTTTTGTGGCAGTCCATCATGCTTTTAATACTCTTTTCCAACATCATCACTTACATTCATCAATTCTACTACAATCTTCCTTATTCAGTGTCCAATATTCACATGCATATACCATGGCTTGGGTCAGGTGCACCTTAATTCTCAGATGACATCTTTGCTCTTGAACACTAAAGAATTTGTGTGCAGCAGATTTGCCTAATACAATATGTCATTTGATTTCTTGACTGCTGTTTCCATATGTGTTGATAGTGAATCCAAGCAAAATGAAGTCTTCGATAATTTCAATCCTTTCTACATTTATCATGATGTTACTTGTTGATTCAGTGGTGATGATTTTTGTTATCTTTACAGTAAGGTGCAACCCACACTGAAGACTATGATTGTTGATCATCAGTAAGGGTTTTAAGTTCTCTTCACTTTCAGCAAGCAAGGTTGTATCATCTTCATATTGCAGGTTGTTAATGAGTCTTCCTCTAATCCTGATGCCATGTTCTTCTTCATATATTCCAGTTTCTCAGATCATTTGCTCAGCACAGCAGAGTGACTAAGTATGGTGAAAGAATATATCCCTCATGTACACCTTTCCTGATTTTAAACCATTCTGTCTCCCCTTGGTCTGTTCAAATGACTACCTCCTGGTGTATGTACAGGTTCCTCGTGACTACAACTAGAAGTTCCAGAATACTCATTCACTGCAATGTTGGTCATAGCTTGTCATGATTCAAACAGTTGAAAGCCTTTGTATAGTCAATAAAGCACAGGTAAACATCTTTCTTGTATTCTCTGCTTTCAGCCAAGATCCAGCTGACATCAACAATGATATCCCTGGTTCTATACCATTGTCTGAATCCGGCTTGAACTGCTGGCAGCCCCTGCCAGTGTACTGTTGCTATCATTTTTAAATTATCTTTAGCAAAATTTTATTTGCAAGTTATAATGGTACTGTCTGATAATTTCTGCATTTTATTGGATTACAATTCAGAGTCAGAAATGCTTAGGGCACAATTCTCCCAGTCGGAACAACCTCTCTGCAGCTATGTTCACAGGCAGGCCTCTCTGGCTCTCGGCCCCTTGGCCTGTTGGGGCAGTGTTACGAAGCTCTTTTAGGGCTGCTAATAAATGTCCACAGGACACTCCACTTCACTCTAAACCAAAGCCTGAAGGCACTCAGCTCTAGCTCCAGGGGTCAGGAAACCTAGCTCCCAAAATAAGTGCTTGGAGGTACCACATTCCTGCCCAAAGGCACTCAGCTTGATTTGTCCCTTGGGCAGGAAGCCCATCACTCTGCCTCATCCTCTGGTACTCCTCCGGCATCATAGCTCTGTCTCCTGGATGGAGGAGGTGCAATGTACGGGGATCTTAGGTCCACTCCTAGATCTTCTTTTTTGATGGTGCTGGCACTTCTCCTTCCCTCTATCTACTTCTGAAATGGCTCATTTTATACTCACGTTAGAGTTGCAAGATTTTACAATCACAATTAACCCTGTTAATACTCACAACTAAATCATATAATCCTATCAGCACTGTCTCCTACCTTCCTATTACCCGGACCCACCAGGAAAAAATTTTGCTTGGTGGGAGTTACAAAGACTATAGTCAGAAGAGCCATATGAAGTAACTCAGCTTCTTGAGTCACTTCTCTACCTAGAAAGAATCTGTCCCACATGAGTTCATCATGAAGAAGGAAGTCTTAAAATCATTGGCTAAAGTAGTCAGTTCAGGAAGAGAAGAGAGAGAAAGTTTTCTGGTGTTGTGAGTCATGCAGTCTCAATACTGATCTCAATGTGATCTTTATAGATACAAATACATTGCCAAACACTTAACTGGTATATTTCCATCATGTCTTCTGTTTAAAGATGATACTTTAAAAATAATGCCTTCAAATGATTAATGTAAACAAGAAAATAAGTACATGGTTATCAACATGTTTAGGTTCCAAAGGCCATATTATTATTTAAAAATTTGGCATTATGTGGAAATGTGCATGTAGGAAGGGCAGTGATTAAAAGAAAACGAAGATTAACTTTTGTCTTAAGAGAAGTAAAATCCACATTAATAGTCACTGGATTCCATATTAAACTGATAAAATGACAGGCCTTTAATTTGACTCATGTTCAAACTACAATTTTAAATTCTGATTATACTGGTTTAATTAACATTGAAAGTTATAGAGCATCTTATTGGAGAGTATAATTTTTAATAATTTTGATGTGTTCATATTGAGATTTCCCCCAGTTCTTACCTGAGTTCATTTAGTCTTTGGTGTTCTTGCCACCACACTTGCTTGTGTTGTTTGATTAGTGTTAGCTCTTTAGAGTTCTTTGAAGCCTGTACTGCTTTTTTGATCTAGATTTAGAGGAACAAAAGAGGAACAGCTTCAATAATTTAAAATGTGTTTTTCCCAAAAGAAATCTTTCATCTACGTTTTCTAAAATGAATAGTTTGCTGTTTTCAATCCTTACTAATTCATCTTGTAATACAAAATCCACCTAAACCAAACATTATATTAAGCTAAAAGCCAGGAAGGAAAAGAGAAAATCATTTGAAATGCTGACAAACTTAAGTATTGCTTTTAAAGCATTCATGAAACGAAAGATGGAGTAATTCTATTTTCAACACATACAATAAATAATTCCTTAATTCACACAGCTCCCACATTTTCTTCAAGAGCTTTCTATAAACTTCCTCCCATTTTGGCACATTTTCCCATGAGGAACAATGGACATCATTATTACCATTTCATAGATGAAGACATTTAAGTTAGAAAGACTTGGTCAGGCTGATAAACTTCAGAATCACAATTAAAACCTTGGTGTTCAGGATTGCTGGTCCAAGTGCTCTTTACCCCCATGGAGATCTTTATCTGATCCCTGCATTTGAAATGGCAAAAAGTCACTGGATATGTTGTTGAAAGGCCTGGCTTTAGCCCATGAATACACCATTTTAATCTTTCAATTCTATGATGTTGTAAATTAAAAAAAAATTTTTTTTGAAGTGTATAGGCAAATATTTATTTGAGGGTACTTAACAACAAAGAAAGGAGTTCTTGTACCATAGTGGTTACGAATCAGGCTGCTAGCCTCAAGGTCGGCAATTTGAAACTACCAACCGTTCTGCAGGAGAAAGATGAAGCTTTCTGCTCTCCTAAAGATTTACAGCCAAGAAAGACCTACAGGAAAAATATAAAACAACATAGGCAGACCAACTGTTACTACAAGAACAAGCAACTTGCTTGTTCAGGAAACATCAAGGCAAGTGGTCTGGTCCCCTCAGTGCAAACCCCCTTCCAAGACTAAGACTCAATGGGAATGCACGCTGTGATTGGTGACCACACTCGACACCGATAAGGGGAAGTGAGGGAAAAACAGTAATGAAGTGGTGAGCTAAGCCCTACAACATTCAATAGACTTCTGTGAACCCGGGTGAAGACCTGGTTGGCCAGCAGTGTGGCAAGACCTGAGGACTCTTGGGCCCAGAGTCAGTGACATAGCCACAGAGGACTAGAGTGGAGAGTGAAGCATCCAGCTGATAAGAAGAGAGGACATATGCATAAGAACACCCACACTTGCAGATAATACCCACTTATCCTGGCTTCAGTGACTGGATGATCAGAGCTCAACCAGAAGTAAAAAGAAGAGGGGGAAAAAAAAAAAAGTATTCTCAAACAATTTGATGAACTTGACCTACACCTATGGAAGCAGTAGCTCAAAAGAGGGAACAAGTCCTTACAGCAAGAATCATTCCCATACTCTCCACACACAGATTAGACAGGGATGGGCAACTTGGATATTGGCTACCCAAAATGGGGGGTGGGGGGGCTACAAAGGCAAGAAGTGACTGGCTTACAAGCTTTCAAGAGGGAACCTAGATCCAGAGGGCCTGGAGGAAGGTAGAATCTCCAGTGAGTAGTATTCAATCTGACTAGGCGGGGCTGATGCAATGAAATGCAGACGGGTCTCTTGTGATACAGTAGTGAATAATTGTTATCAGGACTGATTGTGAGAGTTGGAAATGTAAAGATAGACGTTTTATAGCAAGGAGGGGAGTGATTAACTTTTCAGTCTAGGAGCAGAGGTCCCTAGGACCATCAAGGGAGAAGAGCAGAGAGCGGGACCCTACCCAGAGAAGCAGTGATGCCTGAAATGGAGCCAGAGATGATGACTTGGAGCGATGGGGCAGCTGGACACTTTAGATCCAGAGAGGGAGAGCGACTGTGTGCTGAAGACCTGGAGGATACGGGGGAAGGATTGCATGGTGGGAATTGTAACCATGGCAATGAGACAATTATACAACAGAATGAATGTAAAACTAATGTTCTCCCATGTAAACTATCACATAATTCACAATAAAACATTAAAGAAAAAAAAAAGATTTACAGCCTCGGAAACCCTGTGCAGGGTCACTATGAGTCAGAACCGACTCCACGGTACTTAAGAAGAAGAACAACAACAGAGAAATAATGAGAAGTCATGTAAGGCAGAAATCCAAATTTTGAATTAATTTCCCCCAAAATTTTATTACTTTTAAGAATATTTTGGTGTTTTGGGGTTTCTGGTGGAAAGTTTTATGACCTGTTCTTGTCTACTTTCAGATCCAATTCTTGGCCATGTCTGTGATTTGTGCCACATCTCAGAGCAGGCAGTGTTTGGTAGGTGCCCCTATCAGTTGGCTTCCAACTGGGTTCAGCCTAGGGAAGACAATGATGTTGGGACACCTGAAAGGAAGGAGGGAGGATGAAGCCACAGGATTACTGCACTTCTGTCTTTGGCTTTAGAGGGGTCTCCAGAAACATCTGCTTTCTCTCCATTGCTCCATCCTTCTCTAGACAGTTCGACAATTCCAACTATCTCTGGGAAACCTCGGCACATGGGATGTTAGATAACACATGCTTTTCCCTGTGTCCCTCTGACCTAAGTGGCAGAGGCTGCTTGCTGCTTTTAACCCCTCTGTATTGCTCCACCAACATCTGTTTGGCCTCTCAGCTATTTATTTTATCATCATTTCCCCACATTAAAGAGCCCTCTACTTTAAATACTCAGGTGATACTTGTTTCCTGGTTAAACTCTGGCTGATATTTTGAACTTATGTGTTCCGTACTAATATTTTTTAACATCTACAAAAGTGCTATTCTTAAACCAGAAACTTGATGAACTACATATATGAATATGTTCTCTGTTACTAGAATACTTAATATCCTGAAAGTTTTAACAGATCAATACTGAGATATAAATTCTTTAGAAGGCCAGTTCTAAAACAGAATCTTTATAATGCAGTATCACACTGTCATTTACTGATTACCTTAACCTTGAGTTTATTTTTCTGCTGCTCTACTTACTGATTTAAGATTAGAGCTAGAAGAAAACAAAGCAATCCAAAGATCACTGAAATAAAGGAAATGAAAAAACAAAGTAAATCTTTCATCAAGAGGTTTGAAGAGTGTCACAATGATAAGATTTAGGAAGAAAATGTACTTAATAAGTACAGGACATTGCAGAAGAGCATTTACAATTGCCATTTAGCTTCATAAAAAAAAAAAGTGTACAGTATTCCTAAAATATAACACTCTAATATTTACTTTTAAGGAACTCTGGTAGTGTAGTGGTTACGAGTCAGGCTGCTAACCTCACGGTCAGAAATTTGAAACTACCAGTGGTTCCATGGGACAAAGATGAGGCTTTCTGCTCCCTTAAAGATTTACAGCCTTGGAAACCCTATGCAGGGTCACTATGAGTTGGAAGTGATTCCATAGCACATAACCACCACCATCACCAATATTTACTTTTAACTCATTCCAACAATTTGACACCAATAGTTTTTAAAGTTTGTTGCAAGAGATAAAACTTTTAAAATTAGATTTCTTTGACATATTTGGTTCATGTTATACATAAAAAAATTAAAACACACTGTGGGAAGATTTGGACACATTTCTATAGTTGTGTTTTTTTAAAAAAATCAATGATTCTTCCTTTGGTCCTAGAGAAAGGCCAATTAAGTCAACTATAAAAGTCAAAATAAATCCACTGACTTTCACTAGACACTTCTAATATATTTCAGAACATCCTGATTTTTGTAAATTCACTCACTGATCCTACTTCTATCATCAGAGCATAACTGAAGAACAAAAGAGATTTAAAATGGTATCTTTACCAATAGAGAGGTTTCTGGGTGATTCCAATTTAGGATACTGGGATCATAAATTTATGATACTGGGATCATAAATATGTCATATGGATCAGTAAACATACTTTTAAAATTTAAAGTGGATAGTGATTTCTATAAAGTGCATATTAATTTAAACTGTTTAGAAAAATAATTAAAATATTAAATTCATAAAAGAATTGGAAATCAATGGATTCCTATATGTAGTTTATTGTGATAGTCTCAGACAATGAAACTCCAACTAGACTTCTTCAATTGCCATGAACACCTTTTTGGTCAAGAGGTTCCATCTTTACATATAAACCTCAATGACTAGTGGGTAGTTTGTGTTGGTAAGATGTTTGTATACATTTTTCAAAATTCATTGAATGGTAGACTTAAGATTTATACATTTTATTGTATGTGAATTATATCTCAATAAAGTAATATTCACATTTTAAAAAAGGAAAGAAAACAACTACTCTGAGATGAAATTTCTCATCTGTCAGGTTGGAAAAAACTCAAATGTTGAACAAAGCACGTTTTGTGAGGCTGCATAGAAGCACTGTCTCTCTTACATTGTTGGCGGGAATACCAAAAAATATAAACTTTGTAAAAGGAATTTGGAGATGTATAGCAAAATTTCATATTAAGTTACCTTTTGACCTAATAGGCTCACATTTAGAAATCTATCTGAAAGCTGTTTTGGCAAAAGTTTAAAAAGATATATACACAACCTATTCTCATATTATTTGTACAAGTAAAAGACAACAGCAGAAAAATTACATCATTAAGAGTTCTTGCCAGAATTGTTTTAATCTGAATCTGAGCAAATCTCAAGATAAAACTACCAATTTACTGAAAATACAAAATACAAAGAAACACCAGTGACACCTGTCCAATGATTTCCACATTCTGTTGGGTCACCTCTCTTTGGAATGGGCACAAATACGGATCTCTTCCAATCAGTTGGACAGATAGTTGTCTTCCAAATTTCTTGGCAGAGATGAGTGAGTGCCTCCTGTGCCGCCTCACTTTCTTGAAAGATTTCAATTTTTATTCCATCAAATTCTGGTGCCTTGTTCTTTGCCAATTCCTTCAGTGCACCTTGGACTTCCTCCTTCAGCAAATTTGGCTCTTGATCCTATGCTACCCCTTGAAATGGATGAACATTAACCATTTCTTTTTGGTACAGTGACTCTGTGTAT